TTTTTCATCCATTTTTTTATATAACTTTTTCCATCATATTCGTGACGTTTTCCTGATTAAAATGAGACCAAACACGACGTAATTTGAGTTATATTTACTTGCAATATCTTATTAGAGTAAAGTCATCGATGTACGCGTAACATTTGAAATTATAAGTAAATATGGCTCGAAGTACGTCGTGTTTGGTCTCATTTTAATGAGAAAAATGTTACAAATATGATGGAAAAAATTTCACAAAAAAAAAAAATAAAAAATAAAAAAGTTTCATTCTTGCATTAGGAGTGTCCTTCTAGTAGGTCACTGTTTGTTTACGTTCAGTCTCCTTCGCTCGAAATGTAGGAACTGTACGATATCTGCACCAGTTCAGACCCGAGAATGGTGCACATATCGAATATTTACTGTATGTGAATTTGAAAATTTAAAGTCAGAATTTTTTCACAAATGTAGAAATTTGTAAATTTGATAATTTATAATTTGGAAATTAGCATTTGAACATATAGGAATTTGCATATAAAAATTTTATATTTTACGAGTTTTAGGATTTGAAAATTTGAGAACTTAAAAACTTGTGAAGTTCGATATTTGCGAATTTAAAAATGCAGAAATTTCGAAATTTCTAATTTCTTTTTGCCTCTGTAGTTTCAGAATTTAGAGATTAAAATACAGTACTTTTGGAAATTTAGTAATTTGATTAAAAAATTTAAAAACTAGAAATTTCCATTGTTGTCATATTTAGTTCCCTAAAATCAAAGTACAAGTTGAAATGCTTTTTCCTCTTCATTTGTCCTTAGGTGAAGCCTAGTTCTTAGCTGCCCCCAAATATCCCTAATGAATATTTAAAATCATTTTTCTCGAGAACGAAATATATACAGCAACCTTATTCTGCATTTCTGACTTATTTTTACACGAAAAATCACAATCCGCCTTATTGTTCCACTATTGCCGGTACATTCTGCATTGTTCAACTAACTTGTGACTTAGACTTTTGGTGTAATGTTTAAAAACATGTAAAAATCCCAGCGATAAAATCTGCTTCCTTGCAATCAGCGTTAAACAAAATTTTCTGAACGTTTTATTGTGAAAACGCGATTGTTTATTTCGCACTGTAGAGAAATGATAATTTATGCAACTTAGCAAGTAATGAACGACGAATTCGCAATCCTGAAGCGTCCCGATATACCATTGGCTGTAATTATAAACTATGGAGTATTTCGTCCTCCGTGCTAAGAATACGAATGATTAGGAAAAATCCAACTTCTCTTTCGTTTCCATAAAAAGTGAAATGGTAGAAGAAGCATGATAATCAATACACAAGTGTTGAAATTTCACATGATTATTTATCGATTCGTGATCCGTTATGGAGGCTTCGTAAGATCCGTAACATCAGTTTCGAGACGTTTTGGACATTATACATTAGACAATTGTGTATCGCATATACATGTATGTATGTATATATGCAACAAATTCTAGTTTACCGACACTATGATTCGAATATATCTATCGAACACGTATTCACGTACGTGCAATTTGTACACAAATGGACACTCCTTCGACATGAACCTTATCAAATGAAATGACACAACGTGTAGAATATTAATGAAACGAAGATGATGTTACCGTGATCCACCATATAAAAACAGAACGATACGTGTTCCTTTAACAACAGTCTCTGCAAATGTGTAGAGGCACTCACATTGTCCGACCGAATATATTCTCAAGTTCTGGCTACTCAACCATACAGAAGTGTGCAATGAAATATATACACACGTACACGTACATATGTATGTATACAGTGTCCCAAAAGGTGAACGATCAAAATTTACTAGAATATTTTACGGGTCAAAATGAGAATAAATGTTATGTACATATGCATACAACGAATTCATACAAAAAAATTATAATAAGAATATAGCTCAAAAGCAATAACAGGCTCGTTGACATATAATAATGACGTAAAAGTACACTGATGATATTTATTGAAACCGCTTCTTGAAACCATGTTTAATATTTGAAATAATCATGTGTTGCTGAGATTTTATTCTTAGGAACTGACTGTCCCTTTGTAAATTTTTTAAATAATTCCTCAGTAGGACTTTCAGTTTCAGTTCTTTTAAATTAACATGTCAACGCTGAAATAATTTGAAACTTTATGGTTTTATAAATTGAGGTATTTGGAAACTAGGAAATTTAGAATTCAAGAATGGAAATTTAAAAATGTAGACATTTCTAAATGCTGCATTTTGAGGTGCGATTGAAGAATGGTTACACAAACCTAGCCCGCTGAATGTTCAAATTTTATATCATTAGACTTTCAGAAAAACTTCGATTTAAACTAATTAGATTTAAAAAACAAACTTATATTAGAGAGCTTAATGTGCAGTAAACGTCTATTCACGGCAAGAACTAATAGAAGTGATTAATCGAGCAATGAATGAATGTTTTTTTGATAATAAAGCATTTGTAAACCTACAAGTATTTAACATATTTTCCTATTTCTACTTTTGTAAAATATACTAGTGAAATTTGATCGTTTAACTTTAAAACACTCTGTATGTAACTCATAACGTTTTGGTAGAAGCGATTTATGGTGTAGCAATAAAAAGCAGCTCATATGTTGAGGGACTCAGGCTCGTTTTAACTGTTGCATGACTAAATGGAGGGGCAGACCGCATATGGTTGCACTTCATTTGCATACAAGTACAGGGTGTCCTAAAAAGGTTGTATAACCTGAAAATTGTACATTTTCCCATACCAAAATAGATTGGAACAGACTTTTACCATTATTATGTCATTGCGTTTTCGAATATATGCGACTGAAAATTGAGTATCCTCCTCCTTCTCTCCTTTGTCTCTTCTCTGTCTTTTTGTCTCTCCCTTGTGCGAGTACTGGCTTCAGACAATGTACCATCAGTGGTCCAATTAGTTGCCTGCCATTTAAAAGTCAATTTTTAGTCACTTACGTTTGAGAAATAAAACTGTAGATTGTTAAATCGCAAAGAACTTATAAAGACCTTTTCGATGCAGTAAATCTACAGTTCTCAGGTTGTTCAAGCTTTTTTGGGATACTCTGTATAAAATTAGGCTATATAAAAATTCTTGAGGTGTACACAATATGTTTACCAATGCTTGACGTGTTGTAACGTGTAACTGCGTAATGTATTTTTTGATAGTCAGAGCGTACATTCGGGTTTTCTTTAAATTCCAATCAAATAAAATAAATTCACATCCATTCGCTTGACGGATGATATTCCATCAGTTTTCTTTTAATCGCCTGCATATATTCTTTTATTAATAAGAGAACGTAGGTTGGGAAGTATTCCCTAGTCAGTTCATGGCGTCTAAATCCCTAAATGCTAGCTACGTTACTTACACTAAAATCTAGACTCTTACAATAGCATACGATAAACTAGCGATCATATACCTACTTGTTCAACTTAGAAATTAATATTGTGTACTATGTACAACACTTAGAATTACACTTTTTTTTGTTTTAAAACCCACTTCACCAAAGAGAGAACATTTAAAGTGATTCTCACGTAAGACGATAATGCACTGTCCGTGTGTGCGAAAATGCGTTCAATATGTCTTACACATCTGACGTAAACTCTTCTTCGAATTGGCTAACTTTTTTCGCACTGGTATATAACAGTTGAAGCTATTTAATTCCAGACACATCACAGACTCATTCCAAATAAAAACACGTATGCTTTAGCGTTGTATCATCGTTTAACGATTATATATCATTCATTATGTACAAAAAAAGCGTCTCCATTGTGAACTTGGGCTAGCCTGGACGTTCCACAGGTCGATCTATAAATAATGCTTTGGGCCGTCGGCCCAAACGGATGATCGAAAGGATTTTGTTGCTCCGAAAAAAGATTAAGAACTTACGTACGATGTATGTACACTGTGTAATAACAAAGAACGCAAAACGATATTCGTCTGAAAAGAGACTGTTAACGTGTTTAGAGTATTTAATACATTAAAAGTACGGGAAAACAATTATTTCATTCATCAACAAGTTTCACTGTGTTGATTCCTATTGTTTCAAATACATTAAAAAAATTAAATATCACGACGACACGTACACAACGTCGTACAGAAAGTTTTTATAATTTTACACCTATAGTCTGTACAGATCGTTCTATGTCGTTTTAAAATTAAAAAGTTCTTCGTGCCTTTATCAACGATAAGTTAGAAACAAACAGTATCTAAAAAGCGTCTTCTTAAAAAAAATGGCGGTGAAAACAGAAATATTTATATTTAATCTAGCTGATAATTATACACAACTTTAGTACATCTTAGCGCGGGAATAAGTAATACGTAAAAAAATATTAATTATCAATTAAAATTACGCTATTGTTACGTTCGAACGAAGGTGTTTCCATGCACTGAACTAGCATTTAAAATAATGCTTCGGTAAAACGGCTACTTTACACGTAGTACGGAAATGATCTTCGACTAAAAATACAATGATGAAATCCGTATAAAATAATAAACTCTATTTAAAACATCGTACTATAATCTCCATTTCGGAATACGATAAAGTTCGTGTAAAAAAAGGAAAAAGAAAGATGAAACTGAAAGATAACAGAGAATACCTTCGATTCATCATGTAAGAAAATTTCGACGACCGGTAAGAACGTGGTGGCTGACGCCCGAAAATATTGGTAATCATGAAACGTTCAATCGTTAGAATCTTAGTCTGAATGAGACTTTCGTCGGGCGTAAACAAATCGCATAAATAGCCTAAGAACCTTGTCACAGCGTGTTAATCTGTACGCGGTTAAATTATTAGACTATCAATCCTCGTCAGAAAGTGGTTCATACTGCGCGGAAAGCAACGGTGCCGGTTCAGCTTGCATTTGTTCGGATTTAGCCACAGAAGCAGATCCCGATGTTGGAGGTGGTGGTGCTGGCGGTGGACCAGTATGCACGCCTAACGCACTAAACGGATAGAAGGTGGTTGTGGGTGCTGGTGCGGGTGGTTGCGGAGTTTGATTTGGTGTCTCATCTACCATCATTTCTCCGCTCGAAGGACTCTCTACATTTCCCCCTATTTTCTCGTCTTTTTCCCCACTTGTCACGTTTCCTCCATTTCTATCACCCGTATTTCCACCTTTATCGTCCTCGGATGTACGCATCACTTCAACGATCTTATTCTTAACGTAATCCAGCGGTGAAAGATGCGGCTTGTTGGAAGGAGTTCCGGAAGTTGATGTGGCAGTGGTTGTTTCGTAGAGGCGACGACCGTAATGATTAGTACCCGCTTCTGGAGGCGAGACGGGCTCTACCGAATGGAACTGTTGCTTTCCTACTGACGATGCTGTTTGTTGGTGTTGATGCTGCTGCTGTTGCTGTTGTTGTTGTTGCTGCTGCTGCTGCTGCTGTTGTTGTTGTTGTTGCTGCTGCTGCTGCTGCTG